ATATATATATATACGGGGAGTTTACCTAACCTCATACTTGTTAGAATTGTTTGAGAAAATATATTTCAAATAAGTTGTATGTGCTCAAAATGTCATTTCCACATTCATTTTTATTTTACTTAACTACGATTTACCGCTATTACAATTTCATTTCCGAACCTAACCACTCACTATGCATTTCTAAAGATTGTTTGTTTAATCTGGAACTACTAAAATAATACTAGTAGGTATAAACTCAATGTAAGTATCGCTCAAATGCGCGCAGTACAAAAAAAATTCCAGTAAAATTAAATTTTTAAGTCCATAACAATCCAAAAGACAAAAAGATGCGGAAGGCGCAAAGTTAAAGAAGGTAACCGTTAAAGCTTATCTGAGCAATTTAATTGGTATTCTCCTATTCAATATGGCCGTAAGTTTGTCTCAAAACCAAAATGTAGATCAAAAATAATTTTTTGAGCCTTTTGAATTAGCCCTAATTTTATTATCCCTTAGTTTACTTATAGTCCTGTACATTGGCCAATTTTTCTATTTTTCGTTTGATTTCTATAAAAAAAAATCTAGAGCTCAGGGAAGCTGCCCGATTCGTCCTCCCGTAGAGTTCGTTTGTAAATACCGTCGTGAAAATTCGGATCGCTATCCGGGGGTCGGCCTCAGTAATGCACTCGGCGAGGAATGGCACCTTCTTCGATCAACATTGGCTCCTGTTCTTAAACAAATTGGAGATAAAGCGACCGTCAAGGTTAAATTTTGACACGCATTTTATACATTCACAATGTCAGACAGATTTTCTACGACGGCCAAAATCAGCTAATGGAAAACTGAAGTAAGCTGTCTTAGTTAAGTACTGTCCATGTCCTTATCTGCAGGATACTTACGGCGCGCTTCAATGGGAAATTTGTCAAGATTGGGTACGGCACCTTGAAGATCAAGCTTCTAATAGTGGAGGAATCGTAGCAGATATACAAGACTCGTTATACATGCTTACACTCGAATGTTCGTAACCCTACTCAGATGTCTATTCCAAAATCTTTAAGTAACCGTTGCACGCACAAATGGCTGTTTGAAATTTTATTTTTACCTAATAATTTCTAGCTTCATTATTATGATGTTCATCGTACAACTAAACGTTAGTCCCACGACAGCATATGAGAATATATTCAAGATTTAGTTTAAAAATTTGAGAAGACCGAAAAGCCCATCAAAAATGAGCTGCAACACAAAATATTGAGGTACATGTAATCACGTGGCATTTCCTCGTGTTTTTTACTTGCTAATTTCAGCTATATTTGCTATGTGTTTAGAACGTCGATTGGGGTGCCTTGCTGGTGACACGAGAGCAGTAGAGCTCGTTGAAGCTACTAAGAAGCTGTTCAGTTCATATCAAAAGCTCACCTATGGAAGTCCGCTCTGGAAAAAAGTGCCCTCTTATCGGTATGAAGAGTACACAAACACCGAGGATACGATCTACGGGTAGGTGTTGCTTATGATTTTCTGTCCGTGAATCAGATACACTCTCACTCAACCTAAGGGCGTCACAATATATATATAACAGTATATACATATAATAATAAATGTATATATAAACGTAATAACGCAATGTTATTTAAAATTAGGATATTTAGGGCCTTAGGTTCATGATACCTTTGTCCTAGTCCTTGCGCCAATAAGTTTTTGAAAGCCAGATTGAAAGTTGTTTGACAAATGCGCTTTTAAAATATTTTCTTTTCAATGTTTTAAATTATATTAAAAAAAAAAAAAATAATATTCCACTGAAAACTCAAGGAAAGTAACCGCATGAATAAAAATAAATGTAAACATTCAAGTAGGATAAATAGGACGCAATACGGATCAACCGTCAGCCTTTGGTTGAATTGAAAGGCCAACTTCAAGAACAGAACAGAGGTAGAATCACATCAGGACTGGTCGAACTTCAGGCCGATTTAAGCGGTGCTCTATTGTTGTGGTGGTAGAACAATATGAGAACGTGTCTTTTGTGTTGTTTTATTTAAGCTAATTCCGGTACTCCTAGTTTTTCTTTATTATAGCTAGTCACCAGGAGATGATACAATTATCTGTCCCAGTAATAATAGTACAGGGATGTTTTGTCAATAAACATTAGGTACATACTAAATGTGGGTCATAGAGGTGGCTTAGGTTTCTGTCCTGGCGTAAACATACGTCGATCCTTAAACAATTGGAAGAACCATGAACATAATTGTCCCTTTTTTTTGCTTCGTCCCTTCTGATTGCCTCTATAGAGCAAGCTACCCAGACAGAATTTTATGGCAATATATAGTCTAGCCATATCTATGCTTCGATTGAAAGAAACCGCGAAAAGTCAGCTATGGAAATTTCCTTTTTACCGAGGTCGCGGTTATTGAGTAATGTAATAATAATCAAGTAATGGATGTATTTTAGAGACAAGTTGAGTTTTAAGCACTGTGATACTCTACCAATTTCGATATGCTTGAAACTATGTGTATGTTAATAACATATCACTTCAGTCTAATCAACCCAAGCAACAATTGAGCTATAACAATTCAAGACTTGCTCTATTAATATAGCTAGCGCAGAATGTAAGTTAAGCCGCCGCATCCGTACGTAAAAGTATTTAAGGTAATGCACACTTTACGTATAGAGGACGTACAAGTCGAAGAATTTATTGATTTAATCTGTTAATATTCGAAGGTAAGCTTTTGCTATGAACCAATAGAAATATGGCATGTCATTTAGAAGAGTAGTAATCTGAATTGAAACTAGTGTTATTAATAGACGTTCAACAACAGTACTTTTGCTGACTCTAGGTATTTCTTTTCCTGAGAAAAATGATGTTAGCTTTTGTACAGCATAGTTTAGTAAGATGAAAGAAGATAGGTACCTCTAAAAATGGATAGGTATCTTAGTTACTGTACTTTGCAATATGCTGACAATGAGAGGTAAATAGTAACAATGGCGCAGCGGGGCGGTGCAGTCGTCCAATCGGCCAGTGATTGGAGGCAGCGAAGCGATATTTTGCTGTGATTGTTGAGGATCAGTGGCATATTGCGATACAGGGACCTCCGTTGGACGGGGTCTTTTTCAGGAATCATAGCTACGTAAGATAATGCTGAGAACAATAAGTCCGGAAACGTCGGATTAGTGTTAAAAACCTGTCCCATCGACGCCAACACTGCTAAATTTTGTTACTATCACAGGTTGTCGAGTGCCGACAGGCACTTGATGACTCTAACGCGGATAACATTCATCGCTATCACAGGTCGCGCTGATGTCAATCACTTGGTCGCTGTACTAAGGATGATATAAATCTCAAGATTATGATTAAAATATATATTACGTCTTTGCGTCTCATATATGTTAGCCAGAAAATATTTAGAATTAAAACCCAATCTATACTGTAGCTCATAATCCTATGTCTATATCTAAGCTTTTGTAGTTATATTACTAATAGAAAGCACGAGATATTGGATTGGGCGCCATTGTACACCAGTTTAATATCCCACTTTCAACTTCTTCCAGGTTGACATCGGAATTACTGGCGGAATGTTCTGCTTCGGCAGAGCAAAGTCTACTCCTAAAATCATTAATGTCCCTGCCGAGTTTTACATGGAAAGATATACAGTTGACGGTCATGGACTTCATAGTCGGGGGCATTTTCTCCATGACCCAAACCTTAACTTTTTTCATACATCAGATAGCCGTGCATGAAAATGTGCAAGCGACAATCTACGATGCTTTACAGGACCAAGAAAATAAGCCAGGGGAGTCACTTGCTAGCCACCCTTATATAAAGGTATTAACGACAAAGATGCATTTTGTATTTGAGGCAAATGTACTGATTCGCCTAGCCATTAAAATCATTAGAGAGATACAAAATGTTTACATTTTACATTACAAGACTTCATCCGGTTATATTGGTATGATTAGATAATTCAACGTTAAGTTTATCTGAGCAAAATACGATATCAAAAGAATTACCACTATTGGGAAGCTTCCCTAACAAAAGTTTTTTTTTTTATTTGATGTGTATTTTGTGACCCATAGGCTTGCTTGAAAGAAACGTTTCGACTTTCGCCGTCCGTGCCCGGTCTGATGAGGATTCTTCCACAGGATACCGTACTCTGCGATTATCATATCCCCGCTGGAACAGCCGTCTTTGCAAATTCAATGGTCGCCTGTCGTAGTGAGGTATGTCAGCTTAATAACCGGTAGACTAAAATTCTTTTAGCTATCAATTTTTGTTAAATGGTGCAGTAAAGCGCCATCGAGACAGTAAGCATTGACAAGAACGATAAATATTAGCTTTATTAAGTGGCAGTTATATATCCTTTGTACCGCTTATATATCCTTCGTTGAAAAATGATTTGAGTCATTTATTCGAGGTTGATAAGTATTTATCTAACGGTTTTCATTGAAATTATCGCGTTTAAAACAATCTCCGCTGAACTCAACACACTTGTACAACCTTACTGTTTGTTCCTGTCCTCAAAACACTTTAGATTCGATCGTTGGGATTGACCTTGACTTAGTCCGCAATTTTTCTTTAATTTTTTTTTCTATGAAGTAAAGACGTTTCCGGCTCAGGCTTTCTTCAAATATTGGAATAGGAAAAAAAAAGCCGTGGGAGACAATGTCCAGCAAATACGGGGTTTGGTAACATATACACCGAATTTTTCTCTAGCAAAACCTGATGTACGAGTAGTAGAAGTACAGGCCAATGCATTGTCGTGTTGACCGCAGTTCTGGTCTTTTGCGTCAGATAGAGTCGCGAAATCTTCCTAAAGCTTCTCGATAAAACTCTTCGCTGATAACGGAACCGGAGCATGAGGCGTAGCGTTCAGCTAATTTCTATCCATATAGTTTAAGATGCTTCGGTAAGGTATCTAAAAGAGGACGCGGGCCTCATCCTAATCTTTCACTTTTCATACATTTTTTTGGTTGGACGAATCTTCTGGATAATTTATTAAATTGAAGACGGTACAGAGCAGTTGGAATGTTTTACTCTGATCTGCCTAATGAAATCGGTGAACGAGGGAGGACGCACGTTTAATATAACGTCAACATCTATATACACATCTATATATAAAAATGAAAATCAAACGTCCGATTTGCGTCTACAGTAATACAGTAGTACAGGCAAAATTCACGTTGATTTTACTTCACTTTGGATCTTTTTTTATTCGTTTGAACCGTTTTTGGGCCTTATGTTTTTCGATCATAGATCCAGCGATTATAGCGTTACCTCGATAGGATGATTTTGTTCTGTTAGACCCGTAATGAATCTGTCTACTATTTTTTAAAGAAGAGTAGCGAGATTTTGTCTAATGAGTCTGTTATACCGATATAGATATTTGGGTGCATTGATTGTTTTTTTTTTTTTTTTTTTTTCCAATCAGCTTCGGCAATGTCTATGGTAACACAATATTTATATAAGATACTAAAAATATAATTTGAAATTTCATTCAAACCCGCTGAACAATCCGCACACTACTTTATCTCCTTCGTTTTTTTGGTACTAGCACCATTTGAAGTCGCGCGTTCAGTAAGTGTAACTTATTACGAACTGTCTTGCGAGTGATTTTCCAATATAATACTTGCATCTAATTTGGAATGTTGTCTAAGGATAACTACTTAATTCCGTATAAAAAGAGCCCTATTATTTCTATCACAGCTATCCCTGTTATTTAATTCTAGCTGCCGCTTTTGAGCTACAGGACCTGGATCATTGGGTGCTTTTCCATGTTATTTCCCTGTTGGAGCCGTTGAAACGGATTATTGCCTGCATTGCTTAGATATTCAACTATTAGGTTTTGGCGGCTCTCTTGACCCGTTGCATATTGCAATTCTCACAGTCGTTGTAGACGTTAATTTTTAAAATCCCATTTAAGTAGTAGATCGTTTGAGGAACCAATTAGGACAGCAACGTAAAAGCACCGCTGAAATTTCTCCATATCTCTCAAGCACTGCGCTGGACTAATTACGTACAATACCTTTTCTACTTTATGGCAAAAAATTAAAAATATCAATTTTCGGTCCAATCAATCTGAAATCAATTATGCAATTAGTATGTGGAACTTTGATCTCAAAACGTTTCGCAAAGCCTTAACGATGGTCGAACATATTGTCCAAAAGATCACCTTTTTCTAGATGTTTACAGACTTTCACACGATTGTGTACAATCAATGTTACCCTACGAGTGTCTCAATAGGCGTGGAAAACGTCATGAGAAAAAAAGAACGCGTACTTTAATGAAGAAAAAAATGCAAACGGTGAATATCGACATTACTGAATAGACGTGCTTTTATGCAGGCAAAATCGCAAGCCTTGTTCCTTCAGCCAGAACAGAAGCGCTATTGACAAAAGAGGGAACTATCAGAACTCATACAGTCGATCACATGCGAAAACCTCCAGAACGACGCATGTAAAGTGTTTCAAACGTGAGCGTGGTAAATGCAGTTAAAGCTGTTTCAAATGGTTGCGATAACATCAGTTCAGTCGCCTAATTTCGTAGTACGATGCCAAGCTCCGATCGAATTATACCTCTGTATGTTTGTTACAGTACCTCTAATGTACTATAACATACAACTGGAGTTCTTTTTCGGCGACATTATTGAATCCCGACCAAGTATGATAGCTTTAACAAAGTCGTAGACGTATTCCGTTTCATGCTGGGCTCAGCTCGTTTTACGGTTATTACCTTTTAAGAACAATGCTACCAATATGTAGCAGTTATAAATTGCTTGAAAAATGTTTAAAGCCTCCACGTAGAATGAAATAGTCCAGTTAATATAAAATAATAATTCTATTTTATTTACTTTTTGTTAACAAATGTTATTTTACATGGAAAAATAAATGCACTTGAAATCGCAATGCAGCCCAAAAGTCTGCCGTCTAATAGAGTAATGCATAGACTGAATAGAGCATCGGCATATTTAAATAGATCCCCATATAGTATAAAGCATATAGACTGTAAGTTGTCTGTCGAACGCTTTTCATTACAATGCATGGACTAGGTACGCAGTCACCTGATGGAATCTCTATAATTAAGAAATTAATTCTTTCGTTCTGCCATAACGCATTCTCTTCTTAGTAGAGAATCTTGGTAGGGAAGTGCGCAAGCTATCAAGACGCGCTTTGCATATTTTTTTTTTGAAGATAACTGTTTTGGCAGTTAATACCACTACTTGGATCTCTGGCCCGAATTATCTTCGTACAGACAAAGCTCAAGTGGCGTCTAGACTGGCATACAGGTAGAATAATCATTTAGATACTTATAAGAGGCTGCTAAGGGCACCTCATTAAGGGTGATTGGTAACATTGGATTGTCTTCCCACTTTTGTATAGGGTAATATTAGGTCTCAACATCTCAACAACAACAACAACAACAACAACAATAACAACACCAAATTGATGGGCACGCATCTAAGTGCCGAGACACAATACCGACTGTTTTAGCACTGATTTTCTCTTACATCCTATGGAAAGTGTTCGGATTTTGTCTGCTTGCGGCGATCGTTCAGCCAACTGACTCGAGGCCAAGGCTGTAGACGGCACAGTCATATATCTAAGAGCTTTTAGATGCCTCTAGATTTGGAGGGATTATAGATAAAAAGGGCATAGGTGGTTTGAGTAGGATAAAACTGAAAACCATGCACACAACGGTCGGTTTTCTTTTCTATTATTATGTTAAAACGCCTGCCAAGTATAAATCGAGAGTACGTTGTTATTATTATTATTATTATTATTAATCAACTTTTTATAACGCTCTACAATCGGTGATCTGAGTATCTGTACATTGTATATTATTGTTAAGTTTCTAAAATTCAACTTCCTTCGTTAATTTATTAAAGGATAAAAGAAAAGGTTGTTTTGGACGCATTGCGCTTTTCGTTTATCTAAAGCGATTTTGATGTGAGCTGGAGCACCACTTGATGAAATAACAGCTTTACGTTATACGTGCGGTACCCATGCGTAGTCAAGGTGGAACACCACCAAAATCGGTAGTTAAAAGGACTTGACAAGATTTATATAAATAAGAAAAGGTCTTACGGGAACGCAGAATGCTTCTGTACATGAAACGACATAAGTGTTCATTTATATCGAATTTAGTGAAAACCTAGCGAGTTTCGAAAGCGGTAGGTCTTTCAAAATGAGTTTTATATTGCCCATTGTTAGGTCTGAATACGATCTTTTCGGTGTGCGCGTACATGAGAGCAGAGAAAGCTCACTGTCCATGGTGCACAGGATTCAGAAGCCTTTTCGGTTCCAAAAACTACGGCTCGTGTTTAAACTAGATCATGTGTTTGTTCGGCTATTTGGAGTACTTTGTGTATAATAGTAAGACGTTTCTGGATTCTCGCATTCGCGAAGTATTGAGTTTTTCTAGCAAGACTGTAAAAAATCTTCTGCAGGAGGTTTTACCTTCTTTTTCGTGACAATTTTAGTTTACTATAAATTAACATGATAAAGATTCGAATTAATTTTCAAACCCAAGGCCCCTTGTCTCTTGCATATCATATGTGAAACTTATCACCTACGACTTTGTACTTGTTTTATATACGACACCATTGGATCGTGTAACTTATTATTGGTGTTGTCATGGTGTTGCTAGAAGTTGCTGGGCATGTTGGACACATGATCAGCTTAATGTTAAATGTTATATTATTATCAGCGGTCATATTGGGCATCAATAAATTCAATGCGTTAACAATTTTACAAGCCTGCATTTGTGCTCACGCAATGTACGCTCGTTAGGCTTTATCCGTTTTTACATTGTATTGCTAGTTCATCGATTAAGCCATTTAAGGGATGAGTTTGGACGAATGTAAAAAAGATTACTGCCCATTTGAAGTCGAGCGACCTCCAGCCCCTCTTAACCTGCTAGGTGTGAACTCACGTTGCTCATGTACTCCGGAAAGCGGTGAACTCCCATAACGCGTAGCTAGAATATATATAATATACATGCAGCCAGTAAGGACGCAGACCTTAAACGAATCAACAACCGCTTGTAGAGTGACGTTCAGTCATGGCGCCAGGCGGGCGCCGGCATTTCGAGACAAGCTTGCCAAGGTAGGATGGTGTGCTATGACTCGCCGTAACAGCCACAACCTTAGACAGAACAACTGTAGGTTTGCAGTGCGCCCTGACGCCTTCTCTCCCGAAGATGCACAGTTTGCCATCGCCGACAG